CATCCACAATACTGATGACAACCATTCTATCAGCAACCATACCAACAATTTCAGCCATATCAACAATATAAACCTCAATCATATGACAAATTTCAAGGACCTTCAACCTTGGTACCATCGTCCTTTCAGAACTAGCAACAACAACGCCACCAGTCCTTTTGCTGGCCTCTAAAGAAGGGTAAGCAATACCCATAAACTCCAGTTACCGTCTTTCCATTCTTGAACTCAGTTTCAAACAAGACTAAGCCCATTCTTTCATGCATGGCAATCTATAACTAGCTATCAGTGGGTCCTCTCTATTGTCCAATATGGTTACTATATTGAATTTAATTCCTCTTCACCAATTGGAAGAATAAAAAATACCCCATATTATTGATAAAGGTAAAAGTTCCCCTTGACATTTAGTCAGTCATGTCTGACTCTATGGGGCGGTGCTCATCCCCATTTCCAAGCCATACAGCCAGCGTTTGTCCAAAGACAGTTTCCGTTGTCACGTGGCCAGCGCAGCTATACACGGAACGCTGTTTACCTTTCCACCGAGGTGGTACCTATTTATCTACTCGCATTTGCATGCTTTCGAACTGCTAGGTTGGTAGGAGCTGGGACAAGCGACGGGCGCTCACTCCGTCACGTGGATTCGATCTTACGACTGCTGGTCTTCTGACCCTGCAGCACACAAAGGCTTCTGCGGTTTAGCCCGCAGCACCACCACCCCATATTATACAGTCCTTCAAAAAGAAGTCTCTCTTCTCCAAAAACAAGCCATAACCATAGCCCCTTTATCTGATCTACATGACGGCTTCTACTCCAAATACTTTACAGTACCCAAAAAGGATGGAGTACTCCATCCTATACTCAATCTCAGAAATCTCGACAAATTTATTCGACCTTTACGCTTTAGAAAGCTGATATTAGACACTATCATTCCTCTCCTTTCGCAGGGAGATTGGTTCATCGTGATCGATCTCCAAGATGCCTACTTCCACATCTCTATTCATCCATATCACCACAAGTTTCTTTGATTCCAGTTCGACAACACCACATATCAGTTCTGCTCTCTCCCTTTTGTGCTCTCCACAGCACCGAGGACCTTTAAAAAATGCATGGCACCAGATGCTGCATACCTTCAACTTCAAGGTATCAACATATTTCCCTACATAGACGACTGGCTAACAGGCTCAACATCTTATCACAATGCCATCAGAGCCACCCATCTTACTCTCGACACACTTTGAGATCTCGGTCTCAAGGTGAATCTCACAAAATCACATCTTGAACCTTCTCAAAATGCCACTTACATCGGAGCCCTCTTCAATTCGCTACAGGCCAGAGCCTTCCTTCCACAAGAAAGGATCCTCAGATTTAAAAAGGCCATTCAACCCTTTCGCCTTCTAGCCTCCATACCAGCCCATCATGTACAACATCTTCTCGGACTCATGGCTTTGACAACCTCGATCATACAACACGCTTAACTCAAAATGAGATAGCTTCAATCATGGTACCTGTCCCTATTTGATCCTGTGATGGACCACCCATCTATGCAACTAACGGTAACACCCAAACTGGCGCGTCAACTCACCTGGTGGACGTTTCTCCCAAATCTACTTGTTGGAAGACCTTTTCTTCCTGTCCAACCAATGATACAAGTTTCCACTGATGCCAGCCCATTGGGATGGGAACACACTGCCTGCATCCCAAGATTCATGGCCTATGGACAAATCAGGAGAAATTATTTCACATCAATCATCTCAAACTTTTAGCTATTATCCGAGCCTTTCACGCTTTCCTGCCACTCATCACAGGACATACAGTCCAACTTGTCACAGACAATACTACAGCCCTTTACTACATGAACAAACAGGGAGGCCCACATTCTTTATCCCTCCTGTACCTCACCATCAAACTATGGGAATGGTGTTATCTACATCACATCTTCCTGATAGCAGTCCACAACTCCCTCGCAGACTACCTCAACCGCTTGACATCAAGGACACACAAATGGTCCCTAAATGATACCATCTTCGATCTCTTGTGCGACCGCTGGGGCACTCCTACCATCGACATTTTTGCTTCATGAGCAAATGCCAAATGTCAACATTACTGTTCCTGAGCTGGTGCCGACAAGAATTCAATCGGAGACTCATTCATGATAAACTGGGACCAGGGACCTACTCTATCTATTCCCTCCTATACCACTCATACAGAAGACTATCATTCAACTCCAACAGTTCCCGGCCTATGCAATCCTCCTGGCCCCATGGTGGCCGAGGCAACCGTGGTTCACTCACCTCACGTCGATGTCAACAGACGCATTCAGGTTCCCTCTGATCACCAATCTTCTCACACAGGACAACGGAATGATCTACCACTCAAACATACCATCTCTGAATCTGACAGCCTGGAGGATACTCCCCCTATAAAGAACGTGCTTGATCGAGCTCGAAAGCCCTATCAAAATAAATGGAAGGCATTCCTCTCCTTCACTGATTCAAACAACTGACCTGCAACACCATTCTCCTTGAGAACTTTACTCAGCTTCCTTCTTCATCTGTTCAACTTCAGACTGTCTTACTCCACTCTGAAAGTGTATATCTCAGCTATCTTAGCTCATCAACCTCTCAACTCTAAATCAGCTAAACTCTTTTCTCACCCGACTGTAAAAGGATTTCTCAAAGGACTCAACAATATTTGTCCTCCACGCCAACTTCTTATCTTAAATAGTTCTCTTACCCGGTGGACATTTATCAGGAACTAAGGGGACTTAGGATGGGTGGAGCATGCGCTCCATGGGGGAACGTCCCACTAATCACATTTCTTTAAACTCTAGAAAATTCCGAGACGTTCAGCGCAGGCACAGAACAACCCAATTGTATGGATTCACAGAGGAACACTAGAAGAACTATGGTTACAGGTAGGTAACCTCTTTATTTTACCCCTTCTGCTTAAGTTCTGTGGTGCCAAGCATGATGAAGCATCTGCAAAACATAAAAGCTGACCTTTTTACTATATTTTAGTGTTTCAATGAATAAATAATTTTAATTTTAATTAAATAAAGGTATTACCCAACTTTGATTTTGGACACAGAAGGTTAATACACTTATTCATGCAGATAAAATGCTACAAGATATATTGTTTCATTCAGCTTTCCATTATGTGCACTTGATTTGGGTGTAATCCCTATTCATCTGGATCCCGACTTAATCACACTTAACAAAAGATCTATTGACATCGATGGGACTACTTTAAGCATGGCTAATTCTGGATCCATGAACATGGTGACCCTTCTTCTGAAGAAAGACGCTGAGAACTGTGCTAACATCTGCATTGTATCTAATAAACCACAACAGAGGTTGCAGTGTCCTCACAGATTGTAGTTCGTGATGTGCTGGCTGAGTTCTCTATGTTCTAACACACCAAGCAGAATTTATAGGGTTGGGTTGTGGCTTGTTACTTCATTAACAATTTGCTGTATAGGTTGCTCTGCTGCTACTGGAGCCTATAAATTCAATATGGTTGTTGTTGTTTAGTCGTGTCCCACTCTTCATGACCCCATGGACCAGAGCAGGCCAGGCCCTCCTGTCTTCCACTGCCTCAGTATGGTAGGTATAATCAAAGTAAACTGCAATTCAGATTTGTTAAACATTTGCTTCAACAAGTCCCTGAAAATAACTAACTCAAAGCTTCATTGATCTGTGATAATTGTTTTAAATTCCAGTTCTTCCTAATGTTTAGGGATATGTCCAGGGTTGCCCTGGGGGTCAAATGTGGCATTAGCTGAACAGATTACCTAGAGTAATTTTTAATTATTTAGATACTGCAATCTATGTTCAGGATCACCTTTGGAAAAGAAGCTGCTTTGGCCACAACAGTCAATAATTTTTCTGGGAAATGAACAGGAGTTGAAGCACAGCACTGAATAAATTATGTTCCTATAATGTGATGTTTTGTTGTGTAATTAGAGAAAGAAAGCTCCTCTTCACATGCTCAGGCATACTCTTCTCTTCAATATTATTTGACCTGTTAAATTAAAAAAAGGTCCATGGCTGAGTCTTGATTCCATTTTAACTCTAGGCATTGCTACATTACAGACTAAAGCTCTTTTAAGTGTTACTCTGATCAGGTTTTTTTTCCTTACAACCAAAATAATTATTTTACTTCAGCCTTTAGACATTTAAAGTGCCATAGTATTGGTAGCAGTCAAAAGTGCTGAACTGGGACTTGAAATATCCTGGTTTTGCAAAGGCTTAGCATGTTAGACTGACACCTAGGAAACCCAGGTTCAATTCTCTCGTGAGCCATCATCATTCACGGGATGATAAGCCGGTCACCAAATTACTTATCACTTGTTTATGGGCCCTCAGGTCATCTCTGACTAATGGCAACCCTATGAATGAACGACCTCCAAAATGTCCTGTCCTCAACTGCTTGGCTCGCCTGGGCTCTTGTAAACTCAAGCCTGTGGCTTCCTTTAAGCAGTCCATCTCCTTATTTGGTCTTCCTCTTTCCCTGCTGCCTTTCACCTTTCCCAACATTACTGTCTTTTGCAGAGAATCTTGCTTTCTCATGATGTGCCCAAAGGAGGACTCACTATTTTTGCCTCCAGAAATAGTTTGGACTTGGTTTGATCTGGCACCCACTCGTTCCTCTGCCTTGCTGACCCAGGTAACGAGCTATAGCACTTTAAATAGGAGGGGCACCTTTTATAAATCTTTCCTGACTTCGTCAGCAAGTCCACCAGTGCAACGACCCAAGTACAGTAATTGAGATACAGTATACAGAACTCCACCTTCCTCCCCGATGCCTCCGATCATCGCTGAAGGCGGTCTATAATATATTAGCACCTAGCGCTACATGTAAAGCGTGAAAACTAGGTTGCATACCTTACCCCCCCCAAACACGCAACACACCTCCCTCCGTTCCCACGTCCTCTATGTGGAATGTTAAGTGGACGATAGGCCCCGCCCCGAGAATGTATCTGGGCCAATAAGGGAAGGCCACTGGCCCCAGGCGCCGCCTATTCTTCCCTGCCAAGGCGCCGCTACGAGCCGGACCGGGTTTAATCCCCAGTTCGCGTTGGCTGAAGCCGGCGGGCGGGCGGGCATGGCGAAGGTGAAGGAGAGGGCGGCAGCTTTGAATCTCCGCGCGATGTACAGCCCGGCTAACAAGCCCCCAGGTAACGGCGGACTCTCGGGTTACATTCCTAAAGAAACGGAGTGAGTGAGTGAGTGAGTGAGTGAGGCACGGACCTCCAGAAGGGAAGCCTGTGAAAGGACCCGAACCAGGGGCCGAGCTGCGAAGACGACGTTTCCCCTTTTGGCTCACCTGTCTGCTTTCTTACCTAAATCAAGGACGTAAACGGGAGCGGGGACGGGGGGGGAGGGGAACCGTGAAAAAAGGGAAGCCAGAAGGACTTCAGCACAGGTGCTTCGGAGCGACCCGTCTCTTGCTGCTTTTAATGGGCGAATCCTCCTCCCGGGGCAGATTCGTAAAAACCCCAAGCCTTCCATTCTCTCCCTTCCACACACGCACCACCTCCTTTCATTTGGGTCAGGTTTAATTACCTTTCCCCGTTTTTGGTGAACGGGAGGGGAAGCTGTCACTTCCCCCAAAGGGCGCATCTATCTGGCTGTGCACTGTGGGAAATAAACGACTGGGCGAACCGATTTGGTCTTTAGGCTGGTTGACCAATGCCTGTCACATTTTCTGCATTAACGCTGCCGGAAGATCTGAGTAGCCCTGAATGACTTCGGTCTACTCCTGTTTCTGAAGGAACTTATTTTCTCTTCGTGGGTTGGGCCCCTTTGGTGGTGGCAGAGACGTGCACTTCTTCCAGCTGAGGTACATGTGCCCCCCCCCCCGGCATGGCTGTCCTCCACCCTTCCTCCTGGTCTGTCTGATGCTTCTGACCTGGCAGAATGGTCTCTGGTGTAGAAAACTGGTTGGCTGTTCCTCTCATTGACTTTGTTTTAAAGGCTGGCTGTAGTTAGTCCAGGAATTGTTGAGGGTTAGGGTGGGTGGAACCTTTGTGAGACCATTTTGCACCCTTGTCTTTGGAGAAGAAGACATGATTCCCTGCCTTCTCCTTGTTTCAGGAATGAAGCCCTTTCTGGATGGCAAGATACTCTCCTTGTTTTGTCCTCACATTTATGCTCTACTTCTTTAAAACTCTGTGTGTGTGTGTGTGTGTTTCTGTACTGGTTTATTCTCTATATTTGAACTGCTCACCAAAGTTACTGACAAACACATTCTAATCAGCATGTTGCATGCTTTCTTTGTGTGGTATTTGTTACTGTTTTAAAACAAACAAACCATTAATAAATAACTGTTTATATTAACAGTAAAAAGCTCTACTGTTGGGGTGTGATTCAGGGCAGGGTGCTCAGATGTGTGAATGTGCAGAATACAGTCTCTTGTGTACCTTTTTCCTGGAGATGATCTACAGTACTTTCCTTACAGTCTGGATAACTTCTTGGGAGACTGCCTTGGCTTCAATGTCGCTAATAAACAGAGTTCTCCCTGGAGTCTATTTGGTATGGCTAATAAGAATAGCTGTACTGCTTACTTTATCATTTGGCAGGTACAAAATAAGGAAATGGAACTGTTATTATCACTGCATGAGAATGTAGTGATGTTATTGTGCTGAAGTCAGAAATCAGCATTCTATAAGGCACTTCTAAAAATGGGGACAGCCCAAGCAGAAAAACTATAACTTTGAATCAGTGTCAAATTTGGCATAGATCTAGCAGACACTCTGCGTTTGTCATGTGCCGTATTTAAGGGCATTTGGGCAAAGGATTTTATAATTATGCTTTTTTAAACAGTAAAACTCTAACCCATCCCCCCTGGAGAAACAAGTGACTTTTAAAGTCCTTAGACTTAAAACTGATCAAATAAATTGAAAAGACCGGACTTGCTTATCTTTGAAGAGAATGGTTGACATCCACTGCTTTTTATATTTGGAAGGAATCCAGGTTGCAGGGACTGATATATTTATCCTCAAAAAAGGCCTTTCAAATGAGAAAAACAACTACTTTATTACAAACTGAGCATGTGTGGAACAGGTTTGCCAGCAAGAGCATTGTGAAGCAGATATATTGTTGCCACTTCCTGCCTGAAGGATGCAGAGCAATGAAAAATCACAGAACTATCATGAAAAGACAGGTTTTCTTTAAAGAAAAAAACAACAAAAAACCACCCAAAGGCCTAGGCTTGCTTTAAAGAGACTAATGGAGTGACAGTCAACCTATTCACAAAGGCTTGTGACAGTCCTCCAGAAAGGGACATTCTGCCAGATATCTCCAGGAAATTAGCATACAATTTTGTGAGACATATTCCAAATATTTTCCTATTACAAAAACTCAAAGCAGTTGATTTTGTCTCAGTCCTGAGTGCTTTTAGCAAAGTTTCTCTCAGGATTTCTGAGACCAGGCTCTTGAGTTGTTGTTGTTTAGTCATTAAGTTGTGTCCGACTCTTCGTGACCCCATGGGTCTTGATACAAGAAATTAGCTCCAGGTCTGGGGCAATATGAACTTTTGACCCTGTTAGTCTGGGCTCAAATAACTAACTCCGTGAGGACAACTTTTAAACTCTTCACTAGCCAAACAGGCATTACAAAGAAATTCTGTGTCTGGTTATAAAAATATTTTAAAATATATTTCAAAAAGAATAGAGAAAAAAATATTCAGAAGCTCAGTTATTTAAACTGTGAAATTACTATTTTTTGCTTTGTGACTGGGAATGGTCTTACTAGATGTTAGCAGAGCTCTGATGCCTGTATTTTGTCATAGTCTCCATACCACCTATCTTGTCGCTATATACAGTAGTTGTTTGTTAATTAAGAAAAATACTCCAGAATGTTACTATGTGCCATCATGCCACTTCTGAGATATGGTGATTATATGAGATAATGACCTTTCAAGTGTTATTAACAGCTCTGCTCAGACCTTGCAAACCAACAGCATCTTATGTTAGTTTGTTCTCTCTTCCTATTACCTCTCCCTTCCTTGAAATACTGTATAGTCTTTTCCAGTAAGTTCTGTTCAGGTCTTGCAAACTAACAGCTTTAGATTCCTTTACTGAGTCAACACATCTCATGTTAGGTCTTCCTCTTTTCCTACTGTCCCACCACCACCACCACCACCACTTTTCCTAGAAATATAATATTTTCTGGTCATATGTTTTTTTTAACTATATGTTGGAAGGAAAATAATTTCCAATTACTTATTTTTTGCTTTAGTGAGATTTCACGCTTGATTTGATTGAGCTCCCACTTTTCTGCCTTTCTGGTTGTCTGTGGTATCTGTGCGCCTCTCCTCCAGCACCACATTTAAAACAAGTTGGTTTTTGTCCCTGTCTTTCTTCGCTGATGATTGTGACCTTGGTTTCTAGTGATAATCTTTGCAAACATCCACCTTTCCCTTTTTTATATTTCAAAAATTGAGGGGGCATCTTTTAGAAAACATGGCACACAGCATGTTTGTAGAGCTTTTGGTCTGATACAGCTTTTCTTCTTCAGGTTGCAAACCAAACAAAGGGTTTGGGAATTAAAACATAGCTTTTTAGACTGCATTCTGCGGAGCAACAGGCATGGCAACAATAGTTTACCTGAGAGGTTAAAGGGTGTGTATGTTTTCCATTGTATGTGTTGCACTTATTCACACTTAACTTCACAATTTCATTAAGTCCAAACACAGTCCTTCAAAATATTTTGGCTCAGAGGAACTACAGCCACATCCCAGCTGTTCTTGCTTCTGTCCCTCCCAGCAACCATAGTACAGATCACGTGCTCATATTCTGGGATCCTCTATGGTAGTACTGGGTAATTTTACATAAGGGAAGGTGCTGTTGGAATTTGTGTGGAGTGTATATATACTTAAATTTCACTTTTAAAAAGCCAGGAAATTCAATTCTTCAAAAAACAAACATACAAACCCTGGTTTATGATATTTTCCTTCTGTGCCCATGATTCAAAACACTAGGAAATTGTCTGATATTATTAGAGCACAATATCTTACCTCCAATGCCAGCAGGAAAAAGGATGCTAAGCTTTACATAGCAAAGGGCAGCCCAAATGTTGACAACATCCATGGCAGCAGTCAAGATGGCCTACAGGATACCCTCTTGTGCTCATGACCATTCACACTTGTCAAAAATAGCCCTGATTTGCTTTGTATTTGGGTGAGAAGTGGTTAACTGAATTAAAACAGGAATCCGTTTCTGGGATTTCCCTTTGCTTTGTGTCATTTTGTGAATGTTTATCCATTGCATGTGTTGCACTTACTCATACTTTTGCTTCATAATTTTATTAAGTCCAAAACAGCCCTTCAAAATGTTTTAGCAAAGAGGGACTGAAGCCTATCCCAGCTGTTTTTGGTTCTGTCCTCCTGTAAACCTTATTGATTGCTGACGTGAGTGTTGGTAACATTCTGGCTGCCCTTTGCTATGTAAAGCTTGGCATTCTTTTTCCTGCTTACAACATGGACACGATATTGTGCAGCAATATTGGGTCATTTCCTGGCATTTTGAATCATGGATACAGAAGCGCAGTATCGCACATTCACAAAATAGAAGTTTTTTAAAGAAGTGAATTCAAGCAAAATACAACAATTTATACTAAATTTACTGGCCAGATACATAATTTTTAAATATGACATTTAATTATTTCAAGGGGCGCTTTCACATTTCTTCCCCTAGTGCTTCAATCGAATATGAGTACTTCTCAGAGGTACAGTGAGGTCTTGACTTGAGAACTTAATCCGTATTGGAAGGCGGTTCTCAAGTCAAAAAGTCTGTAAGTCAAGTCTCCATTGACCTACAGTGCATTGAAAACCGATTAATCCCGTAACAGGCCGTTTTTGTTCCATTTTGGTTTTTTTCTGGTCTGTAAGTCAAATCTCAGTCTGCAAGTCAAATCTAAATTTTGCGGCCAGAGAAGTCTGTAACTCAAAAAGTCTGTAAGTCAAGCCGTCTGTAAGTCAAGGGTCCACTGTACTTATATCAATGGCCTGCTTGTGGGTTTTTACATACAAGTTGCTCCCATAAACAATTAAATAAGTGTGTGTACTAGGTAAGTTAAAAGCATTTGGTATTGAATCATTAGTTTTAGTAATAAACGTACCATCTCATGTCAATTAGTTTTGTGCATTTACAAAGCACAAACAGGAATCAAAAACATGCTTTTACAATACAATATTTTTTTACCCTGCCATTTCAAATGATACCCCAACACAATACCATAAACAATGTATGTTAATATTCCTTAGTGTATTTACATCCTGTATTCATTCTATTTCCCTTGTAGTCTTTTTTAAATTGTCATTAGTGAACGTATGAAACTTGCTTATACTAAGTCAGCCTTATGCTGAATCACAACTATCAGTTATGCACAACTACCTAATTTCAGCCTCTCAGCTCTAGCTTTTCTGAAACAGATATCCACCTCCGTTTCCATTATCCCTCATCATAGGCCATGATAGTTGGGGCTGATGGAATTTGCACTCCAAAACATATGGGTAGGCACCAACTTGGGGAACTGTGTTCTCTTCCAAACTGAGTAGTGGCTGCTTTCAAAGGCCTTGGGCAGGCAGAAATCTTTCTACAACTGTGCTATTTGACAAGCATTTTAAGTGGATGGTTATGCAATAATACAGTGCAGAATCATGTTCAATTCTGACTCAGCAACAATCTCTCCTGGCAATATTTCACTGTACTTCCCTACTTGTCGCTATCCAAGTGGAGATTGCTGTTGAAGCCGACACCCCTTCTGCAAGGAAGTCCTGGATACTTCCTTCCAGAAGGGTGGAAAAAAATATTAAAGCACATTTATATTGTGGTCTACCTCTAGGCGGCATGACTGCCAGGGGTCCTGGCCACAGTTTTCAGTGCATGGAAAGCAGGACTGAACAAACATACTCTGAGGTTGTTGAAGTGTACCTCCGATGACCACTTACCATTGGCTAGACTAGTTGAAGTAAAGTATGGATTGGAGGATAACATGAAATTTCAGTAGGTTTTAGAGTGAGCATTATGTGAGCACAAGTGTTTGTGTTACTTACCAATTATCTAGAATAAACATGTATGTAATGAAAGTAACCACAGAGTTACTTTGTGGTAGGACTCCCAGGAAAACGTTTATAGCCCCAGGTGGGGAACCTCCAGGCCTTTAGATATTGATGACCTGTTGCTTCCATCATTGCTCCCTACTAACCAAGCTAAGTAGGGCTTATGAGAAACAGATAGCAGAACAGATTCTTCTGCCCTGTCACAGCTATTTCATTGGGGATATTTATACTTTTAATGGGCTCCAACCATGGCTTTTCCCCTTTTAGTATAAAAGCTTTCAAGATGCCTAGCAACATCATTTGAACTTTCTAAATTAAAAACAAAACATAGTAAAATGGCAATAAAATCAGAAACCGGAATAAAAGCAGCATTTGTAAAAGTAAAAACCTCCATAAAAATGAAAGAGCTAAACAAATAAAATCCATTATCTAATTAAAAAGCTTGGGAGAGGTGGACAGTTTTATCTCTTCCTGAAAGCTTGCAAACTACATGCTAAACAGGTGGTTCTGGGCAATGTATTTCACACTTGGGTTGCCGCTACTAAGAAGGCCAAATGTTTGGTCAGTGGTCACCACCTGTTAACCTCACAATACAGAAGCAACGAGAGAAGAACCTTCAGGGAGATTTTAAAGTACTGAAAGTTATGTGTGTGTGTGTGTGCACAACTGTTATTACAATCTTCCTCATCCACTGAGTTGGGGGTCTTGTTAGTACATTAACAAATGAGGAGCAAAACTAATTTTCAAAGTCAAATTGATAATTTCTTGATAAATGGGGCATATTTTGGGAAAAGATTCATAAGTATGTTGGATAAGCCCATAATCAGCTTCCCAAACCAAAACACATATGATAATTCTTCTCCTGCTTTCCTTGTTCAGGATTCAGCTTGGCACAGAGACCATTTGGAGCCACATACGTCTGGAGCAGCATTATCAACGCACTTGAGACCCAAGTGGAAGTGAAGAAACGACGGCAAAATCTGAAATGTTATAATGACTGCTTTATTGGCTCCGATGCGGTGGATGTCGTCTACTCCCACCTTCTCCAGAACAAATATTTTGGCAATGTGGATATTTCCCGAGCAAAAGTGGTGAGAGTGTGTCAGGCACTGATGGACTACAAAGTCTTTGAGGCAGTTTCTACCAGGGTCTTTGGAAAAGACAAGCGATCAGTGTTTGAGGATAGCAGCAGCAGCCTCTACAGGTTCCCAAATACAGCTAATCAGGTGGACAGTCCCTTTGGAAAGGAGGGCAGCTATTTCATACGTCAAAGGTGAGTTCCATATAAAATGCTGAAGGCTGAGTGGTTGCGTTTCCCTTCTGACTTGTATGCAGCATTATCCATGGTAATCAATCCATTGTGGCAAATGTGGTGCTGCTTACAAGCATCAGCAGCTTCCTCATTTATAACAAATCCAGAAGAAAGCATGGGCTTGCCTCTTACTCACTCTCCAAAGCCACTCTTTGCGGAATGGGCTCGCCTCGTTTCCTCTGAAAGCAGTGGTGGGCAAGAACAGTCTTTCCACCAACCTGGGCTACTTAATTTTATCAGCAAGCACTAAAAACCATTACAAGGAGCAGTAAAGGTGATCCCCAGAAGCCTTGGCCAGAATGGCCAGCAGTAAGATCTATGGGTGCTGTCATGTGAAACATCTGGAGGGCCAGAGTTTCCTCTTACCTGTGTTAAGCAATGCGCAATTGTACTGAGCACCCTTGCAAGGCAGGAGACAAAACCAGAAATAGTTGGCTCTGGCTCTTGTTGACTTTGGTTTCAGCTCCTGTTGGGCTGCCAGTCATCTTCCATCAGTCATGACTCTGAGCATAACCCTAAACAAACCAACTGGGAATTAAGTCCTACAGAGTGCATTGGGACTTTGTAGCTGGCATGTTTAGGGCTGGAGCATTGCAGCTTGGTGTGCAACTTTAACTTATTGCTGTGGTTGGATTTGTGTAGATCCTGGAAGAGGGTCGGTAGAGCACTGCAGCTTTTTCTTTTGGACTGCTCTGGAAAGGATCTCAAGGCAGTGGATTTTGTAATTCTTTATGCTGGCTGTAATCCATAACACTGTGTACCTACAGCTTGAAAAAAAGGGGGGGGGAGATAGGCAGTCCAGCAGCGGAAGGCAAAACTGTGAACATAAGCTGTTCAACAGTCAACAACTGAGGAAGATCTATGTGTTCTCCTGGAACATGCTGTGGACTTTGCTCAGTGCCACTGACCTTGTGATTCAATGCAAGGCTGAGAGCAAAGCTCCCCACCCATTGATGAGCATTCATCACCGTTACTGTTTGACTGGGTGCCTGCTCAGTGGTGCACGGGGACAGGATTCCAGTATTTCTGAAAAGGAGATGGTGGCTGTCTTTTAAAAGATCTGAATAAACTTGTGTAAATAGCAGGCTCAATTTGACGGAAGTTGTTTCCTTTAGGAAATATGTGTAGCACCAGTTTGTATGAGGAGTGCATGGGTTGAAGCTTGTTTCCCCCCCCACATGACTTTGTTAAAGTAATTATAACAAAGTTACATTTGAAGTGGGTGCTTGTACATGTGTGGGTGTGTGTGTGTGTG